AATAAATAAGATTGTGGGCATAAGATAAATAAAATAAAAATGTTAAATGTTTCAAATACATAAAACTGTAAAACTAAATTTGATAACGTACAAATGAAAATAAAGCCTTTTTAATCCTTTGCATGGTAGAAATAGAAGCTGCTGTTCATACTAGTGACAAACAACAGTAACAACAGCTTTTTGACAAGTTTAAAGTTCCTTTAAAACACATTAAAATATTTAAAAATAAACTACAAAAAATAATTTGATAAAGTGCAGATTAAAATATAGCTGTATCTGCAACTGTATTTGATAATGTTTTGAACTTTTAAAATACTGCATGATAGAACCAGAAGCTGTACTTCATATTAGTGACAAACTTTGGCCTTTTTTGATGCGTTACCTTCATTTTTGCTTCTACTTTTCCTTTAAAATAATTTTCCATTTTCAGCAGGTATCTAAGTTTCATCTTCTACATATTAAAAAAGGTTGTTTAAACATCTGATTGGTGCACTACCGCTACTAGTGGTGAGAAAGTGTATTTCACCTTATTTAAAATCAATGCGGTCCCAGGGCCCAAAGTTAAAAACTGTTGTTCTTTTGAGGCCCTCAAGGTGGCGCTCGCGGCCCAATTGTGGACCGCGGCCCATAGGTTAAGAATCTCTGTCCCACCTCTTCTCCTGTAACCTTATTCATTCATTACTTCTTAGTGACCAARAAAATTATTCTTAGTTTCTTAAAAAAACTAACGTATCAACAACTCTTTCTCTTGCAATTCCTTTTTAGTTTAAACCCTTTGAGACTTGAGACAGTTTTGTTTCAAGATTAAACTCCAATTTACAAGTTTGCCCTTAATGTTTATAATTTTACCAATGCACCAATTAGAATTAGTTTCTACTATTTACAGAATTTGTTCCTTTGAGAATGTCTTACATATCAAAGTAAAAATGTCACTGCTTGATATCCTTAACTAATTTAAAAGTCAATCAATCATGAATTGTCCTGAATCGTTGTGAATCGAATCGATTTGGGAAATTTGAATCGATACCCAGCCCTATCATTCACAGCATGTTTGAAGTGCTGCTTTAAGTGTCAGAAGAACTTAGCGTAAACACTGTTAGCAAAATACATCCTGAAGCATCAGGTGGAGTTTAATGAGACTTTCTGAAAATCATCATTGGATGTAGTACATATACAACTGAGGACCTTTGTGCTCAGCCCAGTTTAAGATGGCTGCCACAGTTAATTTACACAAATTAATTCAACACTAGTTGAAAGTTTTGCTGATACTGAGTTAAAATATGACAGGGTAGTAGGAGGTCAGAGTCATTCACAAGACATTATCAGAGTGAGACCTTGTTATATCACGTAAAATTGAGTGTTATTTTCACAATTTGACTCAATTTCTCAACATAACACAATCTTGGTGCAAACCCCTAAAACTTTGCATCTCATTAAAAGGCATTTAAACTGTATAAATAATATGGTAGAAAGAAAGGTGTGGTTTTGATAGTGATTTTTAAGCACCATGGCTTTATATTCTCTTCACTTCTCAAGAACTTAAATGAAGTTTTGACAAAGATTTGATGAGGAGGGCTAAAAAGGCCAATGTCTTAAAGTACCAACTGATACTTATTTTGCATAATGAAGCTGTAACTAGTGTCTTCCTGTGCATACACTACAGAGTAATGCATCATGTAGCAGTTCATGAGTAAGCGGAGAATATCTGCTGACCGTTGCAACATTATGGAGGAAGGTCCTGACGCTGTCTGTCATCTCTGGACCAGATGCAGATCCATCAACTGCAGGAGGGGGGGCTGGTGACCTGATGGTCTGCGCTCATGGCAGGGAGGGGCTCACACAGTAACCTGTCACAGTTTGAAATAAATACAAATATTTAATGACTTAAGCTGCGATATACCTTTTTTCTTTCCTCCATTACTAATCTATACTTCCTATTCTATGTGACCTTTAGTACATTTGGCAAYGTCACTTGTGTCTGGTGTGACGTCTGCTGTTGTGAGACTATCCTTGTGGCTAAATATTGCAATAGAAAGAAAAATACAACTTCAAAACTCTTCAAATACATAATTAACCATTATTGCACTCTAAGTAGTCCTTTGCGATATGAATATTGTGCACAGTGGTATTGTGATGACGATATATTTGTGATATACACTATATTGCCAAAAGTATTTGCTCAGCTGTCCAAATGACTGCACCAGTGCACAAAGCAAGGTTCATAAAGACCTGGATGCAAAGTCTGGTGTGGATGAACATGACTAGCCTGTACAGAGTCCTGACCTCAGTCTGATAGAACACTTTTGAGATGAACTATCACCTGTGTCCTATCACCTGTGTCCCATCACTTGTGTCCTATCACTTGTGTCCCATCACTTGTGTCCCATCACCTGTGTCCCATCACTTGTGTCCTATCACTTGTGTCCTATCACCTGTGTCCCATCACTTGTGTCCTATCACTTGTGTCCTATCACCTGTGTCCTATCAGTTGTGCACTATCACCTGTGTCCCATCACTTGTGTCCTATCACTTGTGTCCTATCACCTGTGTCCTATCAGTTGTGCACTATCACTTGTGTCCTATCACCTGTGTCCTATCACCTGTGCACTATATCACCTGTGTCCTATCACTTGTGTCCTATCACCTGTGTCCTATCACCTGTGTCCTATCAGTTGTGCACTATAACTTGTGTCCTATCACTTGTGTCCTATCAGTTGTGCACTATCACTTGTGTCCTGTCACCTGTGTCCTATCACTTGTGTCCTGTCACCTGTGTCCTATCACTTGTGTCCCATCACCTGTGTCCCATCACCTGTGTCCCATCACCTGTGTCCCATCACCTGTGTCCTATCACCTGTGCACTATCACTTGTGTCCTATCACCTGTGTTCTATCAGTTGTGCACTATCACTTGTGTCCTGTCACCTGTGTCCTATCACTTGTGTCCTATCACCTGTGTCCCATCACTTGTGTCCTATCACCTGTGCTCTATCACTTGTGTCCCATCACTTGTGCTCTATCACTTGTGTCCCATCACTTGTGTCCCATCACTTGTGTCCCATCACCTGTGCACTATCACTTGTGTCCTATCACTTGTGCTCTATCACTTGTGCTCTATCACTTGTGTCCCATCACTTGTGTCCCATCACCTGTGCACTATCACTTGTGT